ATTTTTTCCCCTAAAAGTTAACATAGACTACACTATGCTTCTTAGACTATGGCTAGAATGAGTGAAAGAAGCAGAGCGTGCTCTAGTCACACAAGGAGAGCTGTTGGTCAGGCTACTTCTTGTTGTGCCATTAACTCTAAAATAGTTAATGAATCATGTGTTTACTTATGTAGGTAAAACTAGATGTTAAACAATCAGTTAAAATACATCAGAATGCAGGAAATGGCATCTACTTTATTCAAAATTTGATGGGGGAGGACCCAAGACCCCCCCAACCCACCCACACACACACACACACACACCACCCATCAGTGTGTCCTACCTATTACAAATACCTCTGACTGGCCACCACATTATTCAAGCCAAGAGCCATTGTCAGCACTGGGGCAAAGCTCCCCTGAAGGGATCTGTTCCCTCTTCAGGGGTGGGCACAGCAAGTTATCCTCCTCCATCCCACTGTCCTCTGTATCTGTCGGAGAAAAATATCCTCACTTATCTTACTTACTGGGCAGCACGGTGGCACAACTGGTAGAGCTGCTGCCTCTCAGCGAGCAGGTCCTTGGTTCAAACCCCAGTCCAGGGGCCTTCTGGGTGGAGTTTGCATGTTCTCTCCGTTTTTTCACTCCGGTTTTCTCCGGGTACTCCGGTTTCCTCCCACAGACCAAAAACATGCATGTTAGGCTTATTGGTAACTCTAAATTGTCCCTAGGTGTGAGTGAGAGAGTGACTGGTTGTTTGTCTCGTTTGTCTCTATGTGGCCCTGTGATGGACTTGCGACCCGTCCAGGGTGTACCCCGCCCCTTGCACTGTGATTGCTGGACATGGGCACCAGCGACCCCTGTGACCCAAAATGGAATAAGCGGGTAAAAGAAAATGGATGGATGGATTTTACTTTCTCAAATAGAACCACACTCAATGGCAGAAGATTTTTAACCGGTATTTACTTGTAAGGTCAAATTTTTAGGACAGGTTACATAAATTTACATGAAGTACACACATGAAGGCTAGTCATGAGAATCTGCGCAGAGCTGCCTTCTCAGCTTGCTTTTATAATCTTATCAGTTCAGCCATATTCACAGATCTTGGAGGTGTCCTTGGCTGCCTGCTGCAGCCTCACCCAGCTCCTCATCCAGCTCTCTCTGCTTACATAAACATATGATTCATGGGCAGATTTAAGATTCTCAGCCATACTAATAAAAAACATCTATAACTTTTGACCAAAATTCCCTAACAGCATCCTTTGTCCTCACTCCAACTGCCTTTGTGTCATTTCTAACTGCATCTCTTTGGCTTTCCTCTTTGTCTTTTTCCTGGCAGCTGCATTTCTAACATCTTTCTACCAGTATACCCACTGTCCCTTCTCTGGAAATGTCTAAACCATCTCAGTCTGGCCTCTTACAGTTCTGTCACCTGTCTTTTTGTCACTGACTCCAAACCATACAACAAAGTTTCTCTTACCACCTTTCCTTGACATCTGCTGCCACCCTTTTGTCATGAATCACAACACAGTAACAGAGCATCATGCTCATTTTATAATGAACAAAATTAGTTTTCAAATCAAACATTTCTCCGTTTCTCCGCCATTCACGCCACAGTCTCTAAACGACATTGAATAAAGTTGCATGTTATGGGACAAAATTGACACACTCTTATGTGAGAGGTTTAATTTCCAAGCATTGTTTTGTTGTCCCATACAATTCTGTTTAATTGCAATTTAGTCATGTAGAGATGACTGAGTTTAATCGCTAATTAACGTCTCAGCAGTTCTGCATTCAAATCCAAGGTTTTGGATCAGGATGTTTATTCATACTCACTCTGAATAAACAGCAGATAAACAACTGATGACCTAAATTAATTCCATTGTTCGGTTTCTGTAAATGCTCTATAAAGCTTCATCTTTACTTTTCTTTGCAGATATATCTTTGTTGCAACATAAATATGTCACTCTAAAGGACAAATAAAAAAAAAATACATATAATTTTTCTTTTGTGTGTGTGTATAGGACAGAGTGGGAGATGGACTGACAGAGTGTGGCCTCATCCTCGCTAATGAGGACGTTTCTTTGTTTGGTTGTGGTGAAGAAATAATGAAGGCCATGCTGCTCCTTCACATTAAAAGAAGTCAGCTGAGGTTTGTCCAGGCATCTGAAGAAGATGCCTCCTGGACACCTCCCTTTGAAAGGTTTGCCAGTAATTCTCTCTGGGGGGAGAACCAGGGCAGACCCAGCACTTTGTGATTATTTCATTCACATGGCAGAAGTGATCTGACGTGGTGAATTACCTGCTGCTGCTGTGTCTGTCTCCTCTCAGGTGTTAATCAACAAACGTATGCTCTGTTCTCCTCCTTATAGATTTTAGCACAATTTAGCATTTTACTATCCATCCATCCATCCATCCATCCATCCATCCATCCATCATCAGCTTGAGCAGGGAGGCCAGACATCTCTTTCCACAGCCACCTCTTCCAGCTCTTCTGGGAGAACCTGATGCGTTCACAGGCCAACACGTTGTCACAGTCTTCTGCTGACCTCATGTGGTCATATAGTTTAATAACTTGTTTTTACATTTTATTCAGAGCTGCAAGACTGTTTTTCCGCTTACGTGAACTCCACCAATGAATCTAGCACACGTACGCACACACACACGGACAAATGTGTTTATTTGTGTGCATTGCTTCCTGCCAGCTAAGCACACAAGGAGCACCGACAGTTCTGATGACCACTGTGAACTATACAGATGTTTTTGAGAGTACTTTTAGTTGGTCTTGTTTTTGTTTGTTTTCTCACTAGATGAAAAAACTTTTTTTTTTTTCTCCTGGAAAAAATGATGGAAGTACAGTTCAGATTAAGGTATTTCACATTGTAGATGTACTAATTATTACCTGTACATGTCAGATCATATCACCCAAACTGTAACAATAAATAAATAAATAAATAAATAAATAAATAAACTGTTATACTTTTTTATAGATTTATGACAAAATCCTAGACTTTTTTAATTATGAAGCAAAGTGCAATCTAACAGCATCTTATAGTGACCAATAAAAATAACCAATAAAGTAAGCTAATTTTACAGTTATGACACATTTTCTGGTTTCATTGCTCAAATATACAAAGTCTAGATATATTCCAACCAGGATAGTATGTGTTGGTGAACAAAGAGCAACAATGAAGATCTGCATGAACTCAGGTCCAAATGAAGCAGCATGAACCAGCTGTCACATTAAAGTTTCTCTTTATTACTTCATCATCTGAGGGAGACATATACCACCATGTTGTGATCAAAGTATTTCTCTTACACTTGTGGAAACAGATGCTGCACTAAAAGATCGCCATGCTTCACAAGTTTGTAACATCTGCAACATCTGCCTGTAAGACAGAAAAGACCATTAGCTCATCCATGCACCCTTGTTTCTGAATGTTCTTCTAATAATGTTCTTCTGATAAACCTTCAACTCATGTACTACTGATGATTGGTGAGCTCTTTTGATTTTAATTAAACAAGTACACTGAAGGAGTCATCTTGTACATGAAAAACTGATGAGGTCCTTCGTTCCCTTTTGTTTAATTTATATATTTATTGACATTTATAAACTTATTTAACATGTACATCCACTTCAATTATTAGTAAAGTATCCATTGAAATGCCTTTTTTTAAACAAGAAAAATAACACAACATAGATAATAGAAAGGGTGAGAAAGTGTTTTTTTGTTATAATCAACATATCATACAGAAATTGCAATGTATATATCTGGTCTGTGTGATTTTTGTATAAACCATCCATTTCTTCCATTGTAAAGTAAATAATCCCTTTTCATCGTTAAATTCTGTAGTTATTCCCTCCATCGTGTATATGTCCATTGTGACGTCCATCCATATGTTCAATGTTGGGCTCTCTAATGAAAGTCAATCTTTTCATGAGGGCTTTTTTGCACGCAACTAATAAAATATTGAACAAATATTTGTCTATCTTTGACCATCCTTCAGGCATGAGTCCAAAAAATAAAACTTTACTTTCTAGAGGCAGTTGACTTTCAATAATATCTGCCCTATGTATCTCCATCCAATAAGTTTTAATTACTTGATAGTCCCAAGAACTATGTTAATGATATACACTTTTATTTATACAGTTTCTCCAGCAAGCTGGAGAGTTACCCTTATAGTGGGATTTTTGGTAAAGTGTAATAAAGTATCTTATTAAACTTTTCCACCTAAATTCCCTCCATCTTCCTGAGCTGCGACATTTCCACTGATACTCCCAGATTGTTCTCCACTCTTCCTCTGTTATATCTATTTCTCCCTCTGTTTCCCACTTTGTTTTGGTGTATAAAGTTGAATGTGCTTTCATGTTTATAAGTCCTTTATGAGATAATACCTCTCTGTTTGTTTGAGTCATGTCGGTCCAACCGCGAAGTTATTGCTGCAGCAAAGTTACACAATTCATGTGTTACAATAAAGCTGTCAGACTTCTTATTTTTCTTGGATCATGTGTCTTTCTAGTCAAGTAAACATGTTTTGTACAACATTTCTTTTAAATAAATCTATACTGTTCTGGCAGTGGCTGATAAAGCACTTTATATAGCTTCATATATTAGTCTTTGGCTTTATAGAGAGTACATCTGCTGCCCCCTAGTGGCTGCAGAACTGCAACAACTACTGAAACATATTGGTTGCTTTGCAGCTTTAAAAACTTACTTTTTTCAATGCAAATTACTTATATTCAGCTAAATGAGAGAAAAAAAACCCCACCACATTGTAATATTATAGAAAGATTTATTTCCAAACATTTAAACCTTTTGTTTTGTAAAATTACCTATAAAATGGCACTTTTTCAAAATTTCCAACCTTTGCTGTTACATTGCCTCTTGCATGCAATAATGATGACATGAAAATAATTGCAACATATTTATTTATAACATCCTTATCAAAATATTTCACTGTTTAAATGTGCATATTTTGCATCCGCTCTCATACAGTCAACTCACAAGAAGCTTTTTGTTGTTAGGGACAAACTTTGCGAAGTAAACAAACAAAAGGTGATTCAAATGAGCATGAATAATCGTTCCAGTTAACATGATCTACAAAGGTAATGTGGCCACAGTGTTCCTCTTCATCAAGATTGTCTGGCTGTCCGATATCCCAACGGGAAAAATTGAACATAGACCCATCAGTCCAAATCCATCCTCCTTCCTTGTGCATGTCATTGAGTCCAATCCAGGTCCATTCCCGAGTGGGATCAAAGTTTTGGACCAAAGAAACCACAAAATTAAGATCTTCCTCACTGTGGATGGACACCAGGTTGGCTCCCTCTGACAAACACTGAAACTCTGCATCAGCCCAGGTCAGACGTGCAGCAAAATACTTGTAGCAGCGACCGCCGAAGCTGAACCAGTACATGGGACAGTCGCCTCTCTGCAGCTTCAGTTCCTGTCCATCTGAAGGAGACGCAGCAGCCAGAGCCAGAACCAACAGAGAGAGGAACAGCATCATGGTGGAGTTTAGAGTCTCCAAGTCTGAGAGCTTTGAATGATGGGATGGATGTTGGAAAGAATCCTGCAGAGTCCACTGACCTGCTGCTTCTTTTATATCCCTCAGAGAGGGAGTCTGACTTGTTGCTGTGATGTCATTGGTCAGAGATCTGGTAACTGATCCAGCTGTCACACTTGCAGCACAAAATCTGGTCATCTGATGGAAAATGAACCTGGATTTTTTTTTTCATGAATGTATAATTTTGTAGTTTTGACCACAAGTTGTCCTCTAATATTATCTTTATTTTAAAAGTGTTCATATACAGTGCAGGAACCTCAAAGATAAAGTCCTTCCTGTGTTTGTATTTAAATTAAGATTTTATTCTGAGGGTAAATTAAAAATCTCAGTCATAAACTTTAAACACAAACATTTCTCAAATTTCCTGCCTTTTTCTGTATCCTCTACATCACTGATTCTCAAACTACATTGAAATGAAACAAGGAAATGTTTTTGTTATCATTAATATGGGCAGCTGTGGCTGAGTGGTTAGAGCAGTCGTCCTCCAATGGAGTTGGAGGTTTGATTCCATCAGCAGTCACATGCCAACGTGTCCCAGGGCAAGACACTGAACCCCTCATCGCCTCCGATGTGTGTCCCATTGGTGTACGGACGTGGCAGTAATTAATCTTTGCAAAGATCTAGTAGAGTGCTGTATGAATGGGTACCGGTAAATGAGGGCACAGATTATGCTGTAAAGTGCTTTGAGTATCCTGATAAGATAGAAAGGTGCTTTATAAGTGCAGACCATATACAATTCTTTTTTTTATTGCACTGTTATTGTACAGAGATGACTGAGTTTAATCTCTGATAAACATCTCATCATGTTTAAAGTTTTGCATCAGGACTTTTATTTATGCGGACTCTGAACAAACAGTATGTTGGATAAAATAATTATCGTTTCAACTTCAAGTTCAAGGTTCAAGGTTCTTTATTGTCATTCGCATCACATGTGGTATATCAAGTGGAATGAAACTGTGCACTCAAGATCCCAATTATACCCAAAAAATAGCAAAGATATAAAGTATTAAAAGAAGCAGTATGTAAGGATCTAAGATATACACCAAGTTGCTGTATACGCTAAACGAACACCAAACGGTATGCTAAAAGATCTAAGATTTATGCTAAACACTAATAATGTAAAATATTACAGTATATTAAACAGCAGTCTGAACATGAGTCTGTAGTGAGCAGATATCTGAACACAGCAGCATAAAAGCAAAAAATCAGCAGCATGAATAATCAGCAGCACATCTTCTTTTTTTCTTCTTTTGGCTTCTCTCAGGGTTGCCACAGTGAGTCCTCCTCCTCCATCTCACTCTGTCCTCTGGATCCTCTGTCCTCACTCCAACTACCTCCATGTCTTCTCTAACTGCATCCATATATCGCCTCTTTGTCTTTTTCCTGGCAGCTGCATTCATAATATCCTTCTACCAATATACCCACTGTCCCTCCTCTGGACATGTCCAAACCATCTCAGTCTGGTTTCTCTAACTTTATCCCAGTTGTTCAACCTGTGCTGTACCTCTGATGATCTCATTCCTAATATTATCCATTCTTGTCACTCCTAAGGAGAACCTCAACATCTTCATTTCTGCTACTTCCAGTTCTTTCTCCTCTCATTTTGTCCATGTCTCTGTCTCCAGACCATACAACATAGCTGGTCTCACCACAGTCTTGTAAACTTTTCCTTTGACCTTTGCCGACACCCTTTTGTCACAAATCACTCCTGAAACTTTTCTCCATCCACTCCATCCTGCCTGGACTCTCTTCTTCACCTCTTTACCACATTCCCCATTTTCCCAGACAGTGGATCCCAAGTACTTGAAGTCCTGCACCTTTGTGACCTCTGCTCCTTGTAGCCTCACTGTTCCACCGGCCTCCCTCTCATTCACATACATGTACTGTGTCTTACTATGGCTGACTTTCATTACTCTTCTTTCAAGTGCATACGTCCACCTCTCAAAGTTTTCTTCCATCTGTTCTCTGTTCTCTGTTCTCAGCACAGATCACAATGTCATCTGCAAACATCATCGTCCATGGGGATTCTTGCCTGACCTCATCTATTAGTCGGTCAATCACCAGAGCAAACAAGAAGGGGCTCAGAGCCGATCCTTGATGCAATCCCACCTCCACCTTGAAGCTACAGTATCTGTCACTCCTCCAATACATCTCACCACTGTCCTGCTGTCCTTATACATGTCCTGTACCAGTCTAACATACTTTTCTGCCACTCCAGATTTCCTCATGCAATACCACACCTTCTCCCTTGGCACCCTGTCATATGCTTTTTTTTTATCTGCAAAGACAATGGAGTTCTTTCTGACCCTCTCTGTACTTCTCCATTAGCATTCTCAAAGCAAAGATGGAATCTGTGGTGCTCTTTCTTGGCATGAAACCATACTGCTGCTCACAGATAGTCACCTCTCGTCTAAGTCTTGCTTCCACAACTCTCTCCTGGATCTTCATTGTGTTGCTCATCAACTTAATTTCTCTGTAGTTGCTACAACTCTGTACATCACCCTTGTTCTTAAAAATGGGCACCAGCAAACTTCTTCTCCATTCCTGAGGCATTTTCTCACCCTCAAATATACTATTGAATACTTGATTGAAAAACCTCACTGCCATCTCTCCAAGATATTTCCAAACCTCCACTGCTATGTCATCAGGTCCTACTGCCTTCCCCTTCTTCATTCTTTGCAGAGCTTTCCGGTCTTCACCCTCACTAATCTTTCTCACTTCCTGGTCCACAGTTTCTATGACCTCTACTCTTCTTTCTCTTTTATTCTCTTCATTCATTAGGTTCTCAAAGTACTCATTCCATCTTCCCATCACTCTCCTCACTTGTTAGAACATTACCATTCCTCTCTTTAACAAGCCTAACCTGCTGCACATACTTTCCAACCTGATCCCTCTGTTCACCAATTAGTACAAGTCCTTCTGGCCCTCTTTAGTGTCCAGCCTCCCATACAACTCATCGTACGCCCTCTGCTTTGCCTTAACTACTTTCCTCTTTGCTCTATGTTCCATCTCCTTACACTTGTCTCCTCTCTTCTGTTCTCTCACTGTCATATTTCTTCTTGTCTTATCTCTTTCTTTGAATAGCGTCCTGCACTTCACTATTACACCACCAGGTTTCCTTATCATCCATTCTCTGTCCAGATGACACACCAAGTACCTCTAATTACTGTTGCTGTAGTAGTCCAGTCATTTGGAAGCTCTTTCTTACCACCTAGAGCTTTTAACAGCTCCTCTCTGAATTTCTCACAACATTCTTCATAACTGGGACCCTGTGTATACAGTTTTGTTTCACCACACTTACTACATGTGGTGTGAATGACAAAGAAACTCTAACCTTCCTTCTTCATCTTCCACCATTTGGTCTTCTTTTCTGATTTTACTTATTTTCTCTTCTTCACAACAACAGTAATTCTACACACAACCATCTGATACTGTCTGGCCACGCTCTCCCCTGCCACAACCTTACAGTATCCAATCTCCCTCAGGTTTCTTCTTCTACACAGAATGTAGTCGACCTGCGTACTCCTTCCTCCACTCTTATAGGTCACTCTATGTTCCTCCCTCTTTTGGAAATATGTGTTGACTACAGCCATTTTTATTTTCTTGGCAAAATCCACCTCATCTGTCCTTCCTGGTTTCTTTCCTTGACACCAAACCTACCCATCACTTCCTCATCCCCTCTGTTTCCTTCACCAACATATCCATTCAGGTCTGCTCCAATCACCACCCTTTCCTTCCTTGGGAATACTCTCTATCACTTCATCCAGATCTTTCCAAAATGTATCATTCTCCTCCCCATCACATCCAACCCGTGGAGCATAACCACTGACATTTAGCATCAGACCTTCTACTTCTACCTTCAGACACATCACCCTATCTGACACTCTCTTCACCTCTACTACATTCTTTGCCAACTCCTCCTTCAGGACCATCCATACTCTTTTTCTTTTTCTATCTAGACCATGGTAAAACAGTTTAAACCCTGCTCCAATGCTGCGAGTCTTGCTGCCCTTCCACTTGGTCTATTGGACACTTAAACATCTACCTTCCTTCTCTGCATCATGCCAGCCAGCTCTCTACCTTTGCTTGTCATTGTCCCCACATTTAGAGTTGCAACCCTCAGTCCTACATTCTTCACTTTCCTCTTCTCCCTCTGTCACCTGACACATTTCCCTCCTCATGGTCTTCGACTAACAGTAGCCCAATTTTCTCCGGCACCCTGTTTGTCGTTGTTAACCCGGGCTTCGACCAATCCGGTATGGTACATAATAATATATATAATGGTATATAATCAGTGATATATAGTCAGCAGCTCATATCACCAAATAAAGTGGCATTACAGTGATTATCCTGGTTAGAGATTCATGAGTCCAACAGCTTCAGGGTAGAAGCTGTTCCTCAGTCTAGTGGTTCTATACTTAATTTTCCACAACCTCCTTCCTGAGGGGAGCAGGGCAAAAAATGTGTGTGCTGGGTGAGTGGGGTCCTTCATGATGCAGGTGGCTCTCTTCCTGCATTTGGAAGTGTAAATGTCTGTGATGGTGAGGAGGCTGACTCCAACAGACTTCTGTGCAGCCTTCCCCACTCTCTGCAAAGCTTTTCTTTCTGCAGCTGTGCAGCCTCCATACCAGATGTTGATGCTGCAGCACAGGATGCTCTCCACTGCACACCTGTAGAAGGAGGTGAGGACTGAGCTTCCCAGACCAGCTCTTCTCAGCCGTCTGAGGAAGTAGTCTCTGATGAGCTTTCTTGATCAGGCTGGTGGTGTTGTTGTCCCAGCTGAGGTTGTCATTCATGTGTACACCCAAGTACATGTAGCTGGAGACCACTTCCACCGTAGATCCTCTTATCTTGAGGGGTGTAGGTGTGTTTGTTCCTTATGAAATCCACAATCATCTCCTCCTGCTTCTTCACATTGATGTGAAGGTTGTTCTGCAGGTTCCTTATCTTTTTACACAAATAAGCCTCTCTGAGGTCACAACAAGATTTTTAAACCTATCTTTACTTGCAAGGGCAGACATCAAGGAAGGTTTTACAGATGTGCATGCCTATAGCCTTGTCAGTGATAATCTGCGCCGGACAGAGAAGCAGGGAAAGCTTTAATACACGTTATCACACAGAGACGAGGCCAAGACGACCTCTGCTTTCCAGCTTACAGATGAGGAAGAGGCCTTGGAGTTGATCAGAGAGACAGGCTTCATGCTCTGCACAACGAAGCATGTAGACACACAAGCAACTCTCTAACTCACACACATTAGTTTAACATGAGTTACTAATAAACATCCATAACAAAAAAAGGGTTGTAGCATCAATTATCCAGGTATGGTATGGTATGGTATATAGTTTATTCATTTAAAAAAAATACAAAACAATTCCATAACAATATAAAAAAAGATACAAAAGATTTAAAATGAAAGGCAGCAGAAAGAAGCAAACATCTTATTATATCTGCCCCTTTTTTTCAAACAATTATTTCAGACATAATAATCTTCAAGTAACAGAACAAAATGAATAACTTTCTAATTTATCTAATTCTAATACAAAACACACACTAAGCTACTTCATATATACTTTTTTAACAATTCAGTTCTGATCTTTTTCTTAAATGTACACATTGACTTGGCATTTTTCACATCACTCTCTAGACCATTCCACAATCCAACTCCTTGGATTGAGGTAGACCTTCCCTTCAGACTAGTTCTGAATTTTAGTTTGACAAATATTTCTATCCCCTTAAGGTTATAGCAACTTTGTCTTTTAACAAAATTTCTTTGGATATTTAATGGTAATGTGTTATTTTGAGCCCTATACATAACTGATAAAATACTGTAATCTACCAAATCATGGAACTTCAATAACTTCAGTTGATAAAATAATGTGCTTGATGGGTGACTGTAATGCTTTCTGGTGATGATTCTTACAGCTCTTTTCTGTAAAATAAAAATAGGTTTTGTAAATGTTTTACACGCTTTCCCCCAAACATCAATGCAATAGATTAAATGTGGAACAATGATTGTGTTATACAACATGTACAGAGCTTTATCATTTAATAATTCCCTGACTTTGTATAGTACTGCAATAGATTTAGATATTTTTGTTCTTACAGAATTTATTTGTTTTTTCCATGTTAGCTGTTCATCAATGATTACACCCAAAAATTTCATCTCATTAACTCTACAAATCTCAACACCCTCAATTCTAAATGGATCGTCAACAGTTCTCTTTTTGTTACTGAATATCATGTATTTAGTTTTGTCTAAATTTAATGATAATTTATTAAGTTTAAACCAAGTTTGTATTTTATCAAATTCTGTCTTCATCAATTCCAACATCCGTTTTACATCTTTACCCAAACAAAAAAATGTGGTGTCATCTGCAAAAAGGACACATTTGAGGAGTCCTGATATATTCACTAAGTCATTCACATATAAAATAAATAACTTTGGTCCAAGTACAGAGCCTTGAGGAACTCCACAAGTGATATTGCACAGGTCAGATCTTACACCAGGTAGTCTGGATGTTTTCATCCAGGTAAATAACAACAAAAATGGTTAAATCATGTCATCTGGACCAGTTAACCATTTTTGTTGTCATCTACGTGGATGATTGAGCCTACAAATCTTTTTCGTGAACCACTTTGGACTTGGTTGTCCTCCGGTTGTTTCTTTATGTAGCAAGTTGGCCATCTGGACTAAAACATTTGACTGTTCTTGATGATGATTGATTGTTTTGGATGGGTGTGCTCTGTTTGCATGTGTTAAAAAATTACTTTTGAGATTCCAACAGAAGGTTGGCTTGAAACACAGCAGTGAAGGCTACCTATGGGACAGATCTGGTTAGCAGGCTACAGACTGAGGAAGTCCCCTGGATGGGGGGGGGGGGGGGGGGGGGTTTCCAAGCAAAAAAACAGGGGCATCGGTG